TCCCAAAGCCAAGCATTTAAAGGGAAATCATTGTTTAGAAGTTCCTCTGAGTTCTAATGACCAACCTACTGAGAAATCCTCCAAGAACAAAGTGAAATTTAAAAAACATACACACACACACATACACGCACACCCACCACTCCCACCACCCGCCATGGGATTAACATGAGCCAAAAACAATTACAGGAGAAAATAAGTTTGAATTCCAAAGCCCTGCTTAACTAGAACTGTCCAATGAACAATTTTTAAAAAATACAGTAAGAGAATAAGGGTCATGCCAATTAGAAACCTGAGTGTTATCTGTGAATTGGTCATTTTCAGTGAAAATAACCAAGCAGGCCTATGTCAGGGTGGGTCATTTTTCACATATATATGAAAAAAAATATATGTATGTATATATATATATATATATATATACATATGTGTGATAAATATGGTATAGTATAAAGAACATTAGGCTAGGAGTTAAGATATCCAAATCTGAATCCCAACTCTCCATCTGTTGCGGGGTATGATGTTGGCATATCTTTTCACCTTTCTAGATTGTGGTACAGTAAAGAATGCTGGATTTGGAGACAGAAGACCTAGATTCAATCCTGGTTCTGCTACTAATTACCTTAATGACCTTGAGCAAGTCATTTAATTTTTATGAACCTGTTTCCTCATTGGTAAAATGATGGAAGTTGCACTAAATGGTCTCAAAGGTCCCTTCCTGTTCTAAGTCTAATATACTATGAAAATGAGAAGATTGGATTAGTTATCAGTAGTGCTTTCCACCTTAACATCTTATGTCTAAGGGCCCTCTGACTATGCAGGGATGTTGGGTGAATGATGAACAAAATGAACAGCAAGAGTCTTGAGCTCTCAAACCAAGCTCTTCCATAAAAATCTCAGGAACCTGCAGTCGGTTAAAAAAGTTTTTTTGGTAAACCTTTACTATGTGTCAGTTGTTGTTCAGTCACGCACAACTCTTTGTGACCCCATTTGGGGTTTTCTTGGCAAAGATACTGGAGTGGTTTGCCATTTCCTTCTCCAGCTTGGTTTACAGATGAGGAAACTGAGGCAAACAAGGTAAAGTGACTTGCCCAGGGTCATACTAGTAAGTGTCTGAGAGTAGATTTGAACTCAGCCCTTCCTGACTCCAGGATTGGCATTTTATCCACTGTACCACCTAGCTGCCCCTTCTAAGGCAAGATTCACACTCTTAGAGATGAGTCTTCATGACTCCAGGCCCAGTGCCCTATCTGCTGAGCCACCTAGCTGCACATTATACATCAAGCACAATGCTAGGGATACAGAGAAAGGCAAAAACACTTTCCCGATTTCTCTCTAGATCTAGTAATGGGGGAAATAACATATAAAATAAATGCAATATAAATGGAAGGTAGTCCTAGAGAAAAAGAAGGAGAAGTGTCCTACAGAAAGTGAGATTTTATCCAGGGAAACTAGGAATCTGAAGTGCAGGATGAGAACGCTCAGAGCATGGGCAACAGTCAGTACAAATGTGTGGTTAGAAGCTCAATGTCATGTATGAATCACAACAAGCACTCTGGTGTCACTGGATTATAGAAAGTGTAAAGGAGAATAAAATGTAGGTCAGTAGGAAGGTAGGAAGGGACCAAATTATAAAAGGTTTAAAATGCCAAACATATAATTTTATATTTCATTTCGGGGAAGTTTATTGAGTTGGAGGTTGAAGGAGTGAGATTTTAGTAAAATCACTTTGGCAGATAAATAGGGATAGATTGGACTGGTGAGAGATTTGAGGATGAAACATCAATTAGAAGGCTCTTACAACTGTAAATGGCCCCCACTGCAAGTGTGTGCGCGCGCGCGCATACACACACACACCAGTTTTTTTTAAAGGCAGGCGCAAGCTAAGAATCTCTCTTTCCTCTGGCCAACAGCTTCTCCAGCAAATACTCTTTATGATATCAGAACAGGATAGTTGTTCACCACCTAAAACTATACCTTACATAGGAAGAACATTCTCCCTACCTACTCCCTACTGTTACTCTCCATAAATCTAAGGAAGCTGTAACTATTGCGATTGGTGTCTTTGTATGACTTTTTCCCAGTCTTTGTTGTTGTTGTTCATTTGTTTCAGTCTTGTCCAACTCTTCTTGACCCCATTTCGGGTTTTCTTAGCAAAGATACTGCAGTGGTTTACCATTTCCTCGTCCAGGTCATTTTACAGATGAAGAGGCAAACAGGGTGAGGTGACTTGCCTAGGATCACACAGCTAGTAAGTGTCTGAGACTAGATTTGAACTCAGGCCTTCCTAACTCCAGGTTTGGCATTTTATCCACTGCACTACCTAGCTGCCCCTTCCAAGTCTTTCAATCAGACATATGACATCTATAAATCCATGAGTCTCTCCTCTAGAATACATCCATGAGCCTAGCCCATAAGTCCATGCAGGTGGAGTGTATTCATCTTCTTTACCCACTGTGGAAATAGCAAAATGATGTTGTAGATGTCAGAAAGGCTGAAAGGAGATGGTTAGACTAGATTGTTACTGATTATGTATTTAAAAGGGGCTGTTCAGAGAGTGAGCTTGAGGAAGAGTCAGGACAATTGGTTTTCAAGGCCTGCCTTTTTTTTTTTCAGTGAGGCAATTGGGGTTAAGTGACTTGCCCAGAGTCACACAGCTAGGAAGTATTATGTGTCCAAGGCTGGATTTGAACTCAAGTCCTCCTGACTCCAGGGCTGGTGCTCTATCCAGTGTGCCACCTAGCTGCCCCAAGGCCTGCCTTTTGACACCGTACCGTGTGACACTGGGCAAATCATTTACTTCTCTGTGTCCTCAGGCAGCTCTCTAAGACTGAAAGTCAAAGAATACTTCTCAGTCTTATTGGTAGAGGAGAGCTCCCTGCCTGGAGGAAATCACAGGTCCAAACCAAAAGAACCAGTCTTTATTGTTACTGAACCAGGAAGCAACATGGCTGACTGAATAGATGGTCAATCCTAGAGTCAAGAAAACCTGGGTTTAAGTCCCTATCTCAGACCCTTCCTAGCTGTGCAATCACGGACAAGTCACTTAGGTTATCAGTATCTCAAGCAACTCTCCAAAAACTACAAATGTTCTAAATGAGTGGGGAAAGAGAACTTCTATGCTGGCAGATTCTCACATATGAAGAAATAGAGACTCTATAGATAGACATTCAGTCTTAGCACAGTTTTGCGCTTTCATAGCTTAAAAAGGCATTAAAACTTTTGGAAGAACCAATAAACATGCAGTTTGCATTCTTCTTTGTGAAGGTTAGGACCTGGGAGGGATGATACCAGCATCTTCTTCTTCCACAGTACTGATCCTCTCATTAATTCTCATATTTTTCTCCTATCTAAGACCACATGCACAGCCCATAATTAATTGGCAAATGAATGCTATATACAGTAATTGCCAAGGATATAAGAAAAGCTTCATGGAGCATCTGTGCCTTGAACTCGGTCTTAAAAATTAAGATGGGTGAAACATGAAATGGAGGAAGGGGAGGCAGAAGGGATATGAACAAAGGCCTTCAGCACTGTTTTAGCCACACTGAGGGAGACAGAGAAGAAGTATAAGATGTAGTTCCTACACTCAAGGGGTAATTATTGTAATTAGGAGGAAGAAAATATAACAGTTCTATTTAGAAAATAATGTAGCATGGTGCTTGTGGAGCAGTAGGCTCCAAAATGGAGGCCTTACCAGCAATAGGTATAAGATGTACAATTCAAAGAGTAGGAAAAAAGGTTGAATCCCACCTCCTATACACTAGCCAAATGTAAGGTCGTTTCAAACCTACCTATCTATACGTGTATCCTTAGCCTCTAACACTTTCCCACTCTGCCATCCTTCCACTGGGCCAGCTCACAACCTCTCTCCTTGTGAAGCAGGTGTAGACTCCTCAGGGCAGTTATAACCCGCTGGCTTCCAAGATACCTACCACAGCAACTCTTGTTTCCAGTGGGAAAATCCCACCCCTCTCATGTCTCTACTGTCTACCTACTCTCCTGTCCCTCAGATCACCTCATGGTTAGTATAGGCCCTCTTTGGAAGATGGCCTCTACTCTCTGGGGCAGTGACCCATAAGTAAGAGCCTGCCTCTACCTTTTTCATTATGGGTAGAAGAGGGTAAGCCATACAGATGAGTAGGCTTGGACAGCTTGTGATCTTCATCACAGATCTCATTATATTATCTTTCCTCAGAAACCTGCCTGTCTTCCACTTACCTGTCACTTGAGAGTACCTATTATCCTTCTAGTCACCTAGGTACACAATCTCCACTTCATCTTTCTTGGGTTCCCAACTTTCCCTTGATCATTTAACAATTCTTATTATTTTTACCTCACCAAAATTCTTCCAATTCATCCTCCACCTAGCTGCCAAAGTGTTTCCCTAAATCAAAGTTCAACAAGTATTAAGTGCTTGCTCTGTGCCAGCCTCTGTGCTAAAAACATGTTATGGATAAAAAGAGAGATAAAATCAGTCCCTGCCCTCAAGGAGTTTACATTCCAATGATCTAACCTCATTAGTCCCATACTGGATAAACTCTAGTACCTCTCTATTTACTTTAAGATCTAATATTATTTTACCTTTATCTCATCCTTTTAAAATTTCTATTTTGTAAAAGCTTTATAATATATATACTTATTATCATAGTAGTTGTTGTTATCCAGTCATTTCAGCCATGTCCAACTCTTTGTGACCCCATTTGGGGTATTCTTGGCAAAGATATTGGCTGGAGTGGTGTGCCATATCCTTCTCCAGCTCATTTTATAGATAAAGAAACTGGGGCAAACAAGATGACTTGTCCAGGGTCACACAGCTGGTATGGGTCTAAGGCTGGATTTGAATTCGAGAAGATGTGTCTGCTTGACTCCAAGCCCAGTACTCTATCTGCTGAGCCACCTAGCTGCCCCAGGTTATGATAGGGTTCTAATTTATTACAAAGATAACAGTTGATTTCAAACCTGTCATTCAAGTTATCCTTGTCTCTTTCTTAGGAATGGCATACCTGATTTTTTGGGTGACTTCAGGAAAGTGATATGCTATAATCTGCAGCCTTTCTACCAGGGAGCCTCTTGCCTTTCAACAGGTTTCTGACTATAAATAGGGACAGAGCTAAGGAAATGAGCCAGTGTTCTGATCTGGAATGTTGACATCAGCTATGCCCCACACAAGCTACCCCTGAGTTGTCATGCCTTCCATTGTTGAGTGTTACATCCTGTCTCCTTTGTTAAAATAATGCAGCATTTATTTGGTTTCCAGGATACGTGTACTTAAGCTCTGCTACCTGCTAAACCAACAGTCCAAATTCCTCTCCATCTTCAATTACCATGATTTCCTTTTCCTCCTTGCGAACCTGCATCAGAGAGACAGAGAGAGCCTCTTAGTGTCACTTCATTTTTATTATGTTGTCCTGTCATTTTGTTGTAGAGGACTCTTCAGCCATCAAAAAACACCATTCATAGATGAAATCAATAGCAAAATAAAGAAAACAAATCAGTAAAGGGCTTCTAACGAAAGCAGATCAAAGCTAGGGAATTGCTGATAGAGGTTTTTCTGTAGCTATAAGGGCTGGTCTATTTCACATGGGCTGTGTATGTGAATAAGATGAATGAAAAACAATAGACAAGTAACTGTTGGTTTATTTTATCCACTTTTAAAAGATCTTTACAAAAAGGCACCAGCTGGAGATTCAGATCACAGGTGCCTTTGATACAATAGAAACATCTCAGTTTCTCATACTACATGGAAATGCAAACCTAATATATTCCTCTCTTATACTTCCTTTGAGGCTTGAAGATAAAAGCATTTGTGTGAGATTATTCTTTTTCAAAAAAGTCTTATTCTAGTGATTTCAAAGTCTTCTTTAAAAAATGCAAAAAGTAATCAATCAAAAAATATTTATTCAATACATACTGTGTATTAATCAGTTATTTTTAAAGCAACTAGGGGAAAATGAAGGCTATTAAGGAAGGGATGAGGACCACAGTTGAAGTTGATTAGACAAAGATAATGCACAGTGGGAGAAGGGAAGCTTCTCAACAATTTGATGTTTATTTCTGTAGTCTCTACCAAGGAGGATGATCTTTGGACTAAAAAGGATAGGACAAAAACTATTAGGAAGTGGAAACGCAAGAAAAGTAAGAAGATAATAGAGTACTGATAGAACTAGAGGGTATGATTACAGAAACACTGTCAGTGATCTTTAGAGAATGAAAGAAAGGCAACAAGATTGGGGAAAGGCAAATGCTCCATCAAAAAGGGAAGAGAGTAGAGTCTGCTAGTCATAGATAGGTCAGCTTTTATTTCAAGCAAGATTATGGAATGCTGTTTAAAGGGATTGTTAATGAACTTCAAAAAAAAGGAAGCAACCATCACAAAGAGCCAGTACATCTTCATCAAGAACAAGTCATACCAGACCAGTTTCATTTCCTTTTTTGACATGATAACTAGACTGGGTAGATAAGGAGAATGCTGCATTTGTAATTTATTTAAATTTCATCAAAGCATTTGACATTATTTCCCATGCTATCCTGTAGTCAAGATGAAGCAGTATTTGCTAGATGAACAGTGAGATGAATTCCTAACAGATTGAATGACCAGACCCAACCCAAACAGTACTCATTAATGGAACGATGTTAACTTGGATAGAGGTGCCTGTAGGTATTTATCTTTTGGCTCCATTTGACATTTGGATAATTAATTGGATGAAGTTATATCTGGCCTGCCTATCAAATTCTGTAGATAAGCCAAAGCTGAGAGGGACAGTAACAGACTAATAGAGTTAGGATCCAGAAAGAACATTGGAGTCTAGAACACTGATCACCAATTTAGAGCTGATAGGGACCTAAGAGGTTATCTAGTACACTTGTACCAAACTCAAACAGAAGCAGAGGGACCACTAAACCATACATAAGAATCCCTGCTGGCAGCATATTGATGTAGAAAACCGCATATTAACATTTTCTATGTTCTACTGTACTTTTATTTATTTTGTTAAATATTTCCCAGTTACACATTTGAATCTGTTTTTAGCCATACTGTGGAGTGTTACAGGCCATGTTTGACCCCTGTAATCTAGTAGAACCCCAAAACTTTTAAAAAAGTGTTTATTGATATCTTATTTTTATATTACCACATTTCCCACTGTATCCCTCTCCCCACCCCCCTAAAAAGTCATCCCTTATAATGAAGAATAAAAAAGTGGGGAAAAAAGTTCAGTAAAACACACTGAAAAAGTTTGATATTATATGCCTACAGTAATAATAATAATTTATCCCATCTCTACAAAAAAGTAGGGAGAGGTACCTTCTCATATTTCTTCTTTGGAGCCAAGTTTGGTCATTATAATTTCACAGAATTCAGCGTGATTGTTTTATTGCTTTCTTCCCATTTATATTGTAGTATCAATCAACATGTATTTTTTAAAGTACCTTCTATGTGCCAGTCATTCTGCTAGGCTCTAGGCATATAAGTACAAAGAAATAAACAATCCCCACAGGGTAGCTTACATTCTAATAGGAGAGAGAAACACATTTTATAATATATACATGAAGATACTTGTAAGTGTAAATGCTTATATATTTATGTTTGTGTATTTATATTATTTTATATATATGCGTAAGTATGTATACAGCATAAATGTGAAGTTAATAAATATTTTATAGATAGCATGTATATTGTTCTTCTGATTCTGCTTACTTCGCTTTTCATTAATTTATATAATCCTCATGCTTCTTTGTATTCATCATTTCTTATAGCAAAATAATATTGCATTACATTCATGTATAACAATTTGTTTTACCATTCCCTAATTGATGGTCATGTTATTTGTTTCCAATTCTTTGCTATCACACAGAAAGTGCTATTGTACATATTTTGGTGTCTAGGGAGCCTTTCTTTTACTCCATGAAGTATATTCCTAGAAATGGAATTTCTGTGTCAAAGAGTCTGCATATTTCAATTGTTTTGTCTGCATAATTTCAAATTACTTTTCAGAATGGATGAATCGATTTAAAGCCCCACCAACAATGCCTTAGTATGCCCATCTTTTTATAACCACTTTAATACTGTTGCCATATTTTGTCATCTTTGCAAGTTTACTAAGCTCATGACAAAAGCTCAAAGTGGTTCTGATTTGTAGTTCTCTTATTATTGGAGATTTAGAGCATTCTCTCATATTAATCCCTTAATTTTTACAGGTAAAGAAACTGAGGCCTATAGAAGTTAAGTAACTTGCCCAGAAAATAAATTTTAAAGCTGGGATTCAAACTCAGAACTAATGACACCAGAGCCAGGATGCTTTTGCTCTCTGCTTCCTGAGAGTTTTCCTTATTTAAATATTAAATAATACTTAATTTAAGTATGAGCAGAGAGGGGGCAGCTACTTGTCAGAGAGGATAGAGTACTGGGCCTGGAGTCAAGGAGACCAGTCTTCCTGAGTTTAAATCTGTCTTCAGACACTTACTAGCTGTGTGATCCTGGGCAAGTCCCTTAACCCTATTTGCTTCAGTTCTTCAACTGTAAAATGAGCAGTAGCAGGAAATGGCAAACCAATCCAGTATCTTTGCCAAGAAAAGGCAGAGTCTGACACAACTGAAACAACTAAAGAGCAACAGCAACATGACCAGGGAGATGCTATCATCTCCCACCCCAAGCTCTGCCTTCATTCATCTATATTTAAATTTTTTTCATCCCTAAATTGTCAACAAGATTAAATAAAGTGTAGTTGGCTTCCCGCTATCTCCTAAACAATAACCTGAGGTCTAGAATCATTTCCTCAGATCCAACAAAAGTAGACGTCCATGTAAACACATACACACATAAATATGAAATCATAACTATTAGAGAAAAGACTCAGCCAAAACCATCTCCTTCACACAGAGATAAGTGTGTAGCCTGTTGTCTCTGCTAAACAGTAGATCTTACTGGTGAACTTATATCTTGATATATTGTTTTCTTACTTATCTTACTTAATATAAGTAGTAGTATTCGTAAGGAATCCCAGTGTTTCTCATGCAAGTCCCAGGGAGGAAGGCAATTTATAAAGAAATTAGAATATAGAATCTACAAATCCCAATTGCCTTGCAAAGACAAAACAAAACAAAAAAAGATTCTATTCAATTCAATTTAGTAAGCATTACGGGAAGTATAGTGTCCAGGACCTTGAAGATACTTCTCTACTATAACTACATCTATAATATTGTGTTTAGTTTTTGGCACTAAATGTTAGAAAGAGTATTGACAGACTGGAAATATCTAGAGTAAAATGAAGGGTCTCAAAATTGTGCCATTTAAGGAGCCCTTGAAGGAACTACCTATAGAAAAGAAGATTTGGGGAGTCCATAAGAGCTGTCTTTAGGTATGCAGAGCGCTGTCTCACCCTAAGTACTCCAATAGGTCTGTGATCCCATCAATTTGGAGGTTTTCACCAATGGTTCAAATCACTGCTTCTCCATGTCTTTTCATCCTGAGCAACTCTTGTCCCTGACATCCCATTAATTCAGTGTAGATGTCCACCCAAGGTGTTTTGAGATCTTCTTTCCTTTCTCTTTACAGCCAGAGGATACTGGCAAAATTTGTTTCAATTTTAAGAGCATTTATTAAGCTCCTACTGTATTCAGGACATGGTGCAAGGCTGGTGGGGATACAAACACAAAAAGCAGGCCCACCTCTAGGTACTTACTTTGGTATTAGGGATTCAGCTTGCTTAGCCTGGCCCCAGAGGAAGAGTGGCTAGGTGAGAGTTTCAGACAGGTTGGTTTAGCTCCCCATGAAGAAAAACTTCCTAATAATTAGGGCTATAGTCCCAACAGTAGAATGGGCTGTCTGAGGACATAGTCTCTAATATTTGAGGTCTAAAAAAAGAAAAGATAGTTAGCCCTGAAGGATGGCTGATCTTTTGTTGGTGATGCACCAATTCTGTCAACTGTGGGGTTGAATTAAATAACACCAGTTATATCTTCCAACTCTGAGATTCAGTGATTCTGTGTACTGAGCACAATGTAAGGTGCTAGGGGGATTGGAAAAGGATTATTATCCCTGAGGGATTTATAATCTTATTAAGTCATATTTTAAGCAAAAGAAGGAAGGAAGAAAAGAACTATGGTCGTGTGAAAACAAATATTTTAAGGACACAAACAAATACACTAGTATCAATATTTATAGGTCATATTATTTATATATGATATCCTCTGAAATCAGGATGAGTTATGATGCTTGTGTGACAACAGACAAAAATTCTCCAGTCTACATCTATTCTATTTTATTTATAGTTATAAGCTAAGTGA